ACTCCCCGTGCATCCTGCCCAGGGCAGAGCCAGTTGGTGGCACTGAAATGCAACATCAGGAGCAGTGGGAAATAAACCCCGGCCAGCACACGGCTCTTTCGCATGGGGTCATCCAAGAAGAGCGCAGCAGAAATGATCATTACTGATTAATGTGATTCAGTTCTGCCAATTAGGCAGCTCTGGGCATTAATTTTTGTAGGATTGCTGCACCATCAATGGAAATTTTCTGTTATTTTCCGATTTTGCAATTCCCACCACCCGGTTTCAGGACTAATGGGTATTTTATAAATTTTCAAATGAGGCTTTTGCTCACCTCCATAAAGTATCATTAGAATTATTCCCACCGATGAGGAAACACCACTGCAAAGAGTGTAGAGTTCTGCCCACAAAATAGCAGTGAGCGTGATAATACAGAACAATACAGGCAATTTAATACAAACCTACAATTTAAAAACATTTTAATTTTCTTTTTCTAATGTGAGACTGCTTGATACAATAGGTCCATTTTGCCTTCAATTTTCTCCTGTGAATTATTTTCTATTTTTAGGCCTTTTATTTTTAGGCTGCTGCCTGTTCTTGCTGGACAGCCAGCGCAGCTATCAATTGGAAATGTTTTATTTCCCCAGCAGTTTTGTTCCCCTGCTCTATGTGCCACTCGGGCCAGACTGTCCTTGGAGGAGATGCACAGCTATGGGCAGCACATTGGAAGGCCTGTTATAAACTGCCCTTGGAGGCACAGTGTGACTTTGCTCCAAACCTTTTGCTGCTCTCTGCTCCTACCCCGGTGTCCGTGCACGCATTTTTCTTATGCCCTGTCAAACTCGGTGGAGCATTAGGGCCATATGGCAGCAGCTCAGCACCCAGTCGGGCACAGCAAGCTCTCAGCAAGCAACTGATATTAAAGGACTCGCTGAGTGTATCCAGCAGCGTCCCGTGACAATAACTGTGTGCCCTACATGGTGCTTAGCAATGACAAGTAGGTCCAAATGATCTGACATGGGCGAGGGTGGGAGCTGAGAAACCCAGCGAGCTTCACAGCTGCAGATCCCAGCGTTTCTGGCAGCTGTGTTGGACTGTCTTCGAGGTGCCACGGAGCCAAGTCTGGAGCTGAATTTACAGAATGGTACATGAGCATAACCTCTATTTTTAATACTATTGTCGCTACCTTTTTCAGTAACCTAGACGACAGCAAAAAACTCAGCCCTTCACAGTTTCATAGCACTGTTATACTAGTTGAACTACTGTTCAAATGAAGGCAGTGGCAAAGCACTTACTAAACGAGTTGGAAATAGAATCAGCCCCTGTTCAAATGACATTTCAGTTGAAAGGACTTAACATTTTCTAGGATATTTAAGTCTGCAAAGCTTGTGTGCCTTTGCAAGCTATCGCTTTAAAATGCTAGCTAAAAATATTTGCTTTATCTGAAGTCAGATGAATAAATCCTCCCTACTGTTGGGTACACAGTGTGGCAGAGTACAATACAACTGCAAATTTATTTGTTAGAAACTGTACATCTGTTATGATTTACGCTTGCCAAAATATAATTCTTTATGGCAACAATTGTTTCATGGTGCTTAAAGTTTTTCACCTCTGTGCCAGGAATCTCATATGGGATAATTCCATGACCTTGGAATCCAACAGATACATTCCACATCTGTCTAGTCTGGGAAAGCCTGAGCTTGTTGTGTGAAAAGCGTAGTGGGAAAATAAGACCTGGAAATATCTGAAAATACAGAAACTGCAGATTACTTCTTTCTTCTCTTCTAATTAACAGTTTGAAGTATATCAAATCAATTACACAAAAGTGTTTATTTTTTTTTCAAGGACATATTTGCTTTGGATCCTATATGCAAATTAAAAAATGTGGTATAAACATTAAAATAATTGTATCTCTGGGAAAAAATCAGCCTTTAAATACTAAAACTAAATTATGAAAAATAAACCACACAGCCTATCGCAAACAAACATTTTGGTTGTGGCTGTGAAGATTTAAGATGGCAGAAAAACTGCAGCAGTCTTAGAATCTGAGGGATATGCTTTTGTCACTATATTTTTAACACAAAATAAACCACACACAGCTTGGTGAGCAGTGGAACTTCCAAAGCCAGGTTTCCTGCGACTCTCCCCGTGCACATTTTGTTATTGTAATAATTTGGCTGAGCTCGTGCAGAGTTCCCTCCAAGGGTACTGTGGCAGTTTCATGCAGACAGTCTGCACCTCGAGCAACCTGCACTCTACTATGATCTGTGCAACCCTGGAGGCAGGAGGGAAATGTCAGGAAGAATAGCTTCTCCTGAGAAAAAAAGGAAAAATGTGAATGTGCTTGCTTGTCAGAAATTGAGACTAAATACTCTTGTTGAAGCTACCTAATTGTAAATATTCTTGTTCAAGCTCTCCTTTTCCAAGGAAGCTTAGTGGTTGCACTTTAGTTTGCAGTTCCTGAGGGTGGCAATACACTGACAGGCTGTGTCCTATTGCAGGACCAATATACCAAGAAAACACCCCAAAAAGTAGGCACACAGACAAAGGCAGTGCTGCAGGCTAACCAAGAATGGGCAACTCGTTTATCAAGTTCATACAAAACTGTGCTAACAATTTTCAATCCATGCGTGAGTCCTGTGAGTCTTAGAGAACCATTTTTTTATAGGGCTAACAAGATCCCACTTGGAACCAATATTCCTGATGCTCATGATCCCTTTGGGTGCACCAAAGCTTTATAAGTTGGTAACTGATTTTTCTAAGCCATGTCATAAACAAATAGCCTTTATAATAAATCAGCATTTTGTCCAAAAATTCTGCTGTAAAGTTTAGTTCTGTACTATTGGACATAGTGTTCTGGTACTACATGAAATAGTTTCTGTGTATATAGCAGCCAAACAAATTGGCAACATTTGTAGAGTGTTTTGGATTACAAGGCCACCAACATCAAAAAATATATGAAAGAAGCTAATGACTTTTCAACATATTGTGACAACAAACCAGCCAAAACTACTTTCAACCACAGTTTGCAAAATAATGTGTTCCTGGCTGCTCACATCACCTCTCCTGCAGAAAAAATTAACATCAAAGATGTAAAGTCCTGTGAAATTGGGTTTAAAATACAAGCCTTGAACTATGCGTGAGCAGGCATAAACACTACTGCTGCATAAAAAATAGTTCATAGTGGATGTTCATTCTTTGATGCAGAAAAATATAGGCAATTTCCAAAGTGAGAAATTCTGCTAGACTTCTAGTGGAAAGGTGAGGTGGGCAGATTCTTCATAATTACATAGTATGCAGTGTTAATACTTTTCTACCCACTCAAGTCATAACAGCTGTTCCTTCAAAAGAGGGAAAATGAAGGCCGTTGGTAATTCTTAAGCAAGCTGCCAGTTTTCCACATGGGATTTGATGGCTAAGATTGTTTTTTTTCTTTTTTTTTTCTGTAGTCTTGAGCTTCTGCAAGGAGTCACAGGACTTTTAGCAATTCTTTCTATCTAAAGAAAAGTTATATTTTCTAAATTCTTCTTATATACTAAATATCTTACTAGTGAAAAAACTCTGTATCTAATGCCTTATCTTTTTCTTTTTCAGACACTTTTTATAGTTTTTAAGGGTAGTGCCTGTCACATATTTGAAGTTCTGTTCAGTGTCTAAGTGTGTGATAGGCAGGTGCAGTTTTTTCCACTGACAATTCTGTGAGCATCAGAAGAGAAACTATGTTCATAAATCAAATATGTATTTCAGTGCCAGCATCCAACACCAAAGAGGAAAAAAAGAATGGAATTTTAAGTGTCAGATATTGATTATGAACCAAATTCTGGCTGCCTTGGAGAGAGGTGCCTGTCCAAAAAAATTACAGATAAAGAAAAAGCCAGATTTTACAGAATTACAGATAAAGGAAAAAACCTGTTGGCCTCTCAGCCACTTGGAATGGGTTTCGTACAGGCCCTTCATATTGTTTTTATGGGACACACTTTGGTGATGGCTTGGAACTACACGAAGTATTCTAAGCACATACACACACATGTACAACTGTTTCCCAACATTGATCTGACCCACTTTATCTTCCAGTGAGGGATTCAGTTTATTTAATAGCCCTTGAGCCACCACTACCTTGTTGCTGGTCATGCAATGTCTGGGTTGGGATATGCATGTGAACTGTCACCATGCACAGCTCAAAAGCCATATGGTGAGCACTCACAGACCATGTACTTGTATAAGAACACTCAGCTGGTGTTGAAAAACATAAACTCCTAATTCAATCTGTATACATATAATTATACACTAATGCCTCCTTGTTATCCATACCCTGAGTCTCTCTCAGCCCTTTTTATAACTTGTTATATCATCCTGTGTATGTATTTGTGCAAGATGTGCAGGATTCAAATATTTATATCAGAAGAGGGAGGAAAAATCCCATCGACATCTGTTTGCAGAAGTGAAATGGTGAAACTGAAGTGTCAAATAATCTCCCTAAACGATGTCATTATATTCAGCTGCCTGACAGATCTCTCTGCCTGTGTGAGAGTAAACAAGAATATGGCGCAGTCGTTTGGACTGAGTTTAAGGCCAAACAAAGGAACAAAAGATCCATTTTTAGACCAGGTCTCCTGCTACAGTCTACAAATGTTCACTTGTGATGTTCCCTGTAAGTGCCTTTGGGAACAATGATCAATGCACTGCGTGGCTGGCCAGCCTCATTAAACGTATTGGCTATTTGGAACAAAAATATCTCAGGGAGAAAACAAACCTTCAAGCAGCAAATAGACAAGACACACTTCGAACCTCCTGAATGTTTTCAAATATCCTGGAAATCAGGCATCATCCCATTTACTTCATACATTTCCATAGGACTGGGGCCTGACCTTATTTGAATTTTGAGTAATTGTCTTGATTTGAGTGGAATTGGGACAGATTTATAGGGAGATGAAAGAAATTAAACAGAGGCAAAATTATATTAATACAAACCCTTGATATTTACCAGGAAAAGACACAGTTTATCACGAAGCTACACTTACCTCTGTAATAATGAAAAAGTCATCGCCAGGCTCTCCCTGCACCACAATTTTTTCTCCATCTTCAAACTGGACAGGTTCCAGTGCATCAGCCACTGTCAGACGCTCCCATTTATCCAGGGACTCTGAAATATTGAAGATCATAAAACATTATTATAAAAAGACACTGGCTTTGGCTGAAGATTCAAAATTAAGCTGACAGCTCTGATATGCCTGGTTCTGTCATAAAAGAAACATTTCTTTCATCTGAGCATTTTGCACAAACCTCCAGTTGGGAAAGATGGGTGTATTTATTCATTGTGTCTTAGAACTTGTAATCTTTGGACCGGAAAAGTTGGCTACAGTTCCCTAACTCTGTGATCTCTCATGACCTGATGCTGCGCTGAGCTAGAGCAGCCTAGAAGCTGTGTATATTTTTATATATATTTATGTATATTAAAAATATATTGGTGATGGGGGTGTCCGGAGAGGGACAGCTCTTACCATATCCCACACCAGCTGTCAGAAAAAGCCCTACTCCATTTTTGTTAGTTATTCTCAGCCTGTTCAACAAGCAGTAAAGAGGTTCCCATTGCAAGAAAAATTTTTGTTCAAAGTTGAAATCACTCAGCATTGAAAGCAATCGGACCAGAGTCTTAATGTCTTAACATGGCTGTATGAAGTAGTACCTCTGTTCATTCGCAATTCAGACCTGTAGAACTGCACACAAAGTGCAAGAGCTGTTTTTCTTCTATTCCCCCATTTAGACAGAAAGTGTTGCAAAGCTTCAAATTAAATTCCCATAAGAAAACATTAACTATCTGTTCTAGGAATAATAGAACCAATGGGGCCTGGTTCCCTGTGGCTTTGTGCCCTTTTCACCTACCTGCAGCAACCCCAAATCCCCAGTGACACTGGCATGGCAAAAGAGCCTGTGCGGTGGCTAATCCGGCTGCTCCCGGGGCAGCTGGCATCTTCCCACTGCATGATCTAATGCATGGATTCTATCCTGGGACAGTAGTGGTGCTCACCTGCCTCTTCCCATTTGCACAAGAATTCAAGAAAACAACTTATAACTCCCCTTCTCTCCTTTTACCACATTTAACTCAAAGAAGCAAATGCTTTAAAAGTGACTAGAAGAAACAGATAACACAATGGCAGGACCTTCACTGCCTTAAAAAGTTGGACTAAAAATTCATGTAGTGGCTCTGCTGAATCTGACTTATCTTAGTAGGAATTACTGAGCAACTGTAAGTCAAGAGACTGCTGACACCAGGACTGCATTTGGCCTGTTCTCTCAAACTATTTTTCTCTTCTCATTCCAAAACAGTACTTAGAAGTATTGCAGGGAGGTGAAAGGATTGTTATTTAAAATTTAAAAAGGCTTTTGGCTGAACTCTTAAGTTTGCTAACAAAACCGGATCAAGTGATCAATGTCCTAAAGGTAACTGGCCTGACACAAATACATCTTCCTATTTTTATGTCATTTTCTCTTGCTTTCTAGAAAATATTTTTTTCTAATACTTTCTAACCTGTAGTCACTCATGCACTTTCCTCGTATACCTGTGGTCTTTATTTAACATTTATATCAAGTACCAACCCCATAAGAGAAGTATTATAAGTGCAACATTCAAAAAAGTGAACCTTTTGTCTAAAAATATGCTTGCAACAGACTTTTACAGACGTTCGGCAGATCTAAGAAAAATATATAAGAAACAGGTAGAGGTTTATTCATTAAAATCACAATGCTCTGACCACATTACGGTATGCAATCAAATTAATTTCTCAGTACTGCATTGATATCTTTAAATACCTTTAATTTAGCCATCTGTAATCAGCTATTAAGGAATGTGAAATATAGATCCTTCAACATTTCACCGAAATTCTCAATGTCCCTGAAATGATGCATTATATTGTTTTCTGCATTTAAAAAAGGCTCAAATCTGAAATCTTTATTCAGTTTTTAGTGAGATGGAAACCCACACTATAAACTGGGATATAATTACATTGCAAACCACATGTTTAAGGAAGCTCATCTCTGAATAACCTTTCTACTCTGAAATCCTTTTGAGATGTCTCATTGTTGTAATTGCTCCTCATTAGCACAGGTGCAAAGATGCTTTTTTTTCTTTAAATACTCGTTGTAATTTGGTATAATTTGTGCTCTTAGTTTAGGAAGATTTAAATTAGACATAAAAACAGCATTTAAATGATGAAAAATCATTATTAAATGAGCAACATACTTGACCTTACTTCTAGCATACAAACTTAATTGAAAATTTCATGCACAGCTCCTCTCAGAAGGTCAAGTACATTTGCACTAAGGCTCCCCTGTTTTTATATTTGAGGCACATAAGATCAAATGCTAGATAAATACAAAAATAAAATTGTTGAAATAGAAAAATAAAGACTTTAATTATGTAGCAAATTAATCCTCAACAAACAGCCCAAGTAGAAACATGATGTGTTTCCTACAGAATCAACATTTCATTGTACTGGCTAACACTGTCCTCCTTATTAGAAGTTTTTGTTCTCCTAATGGTGATTGATTGGTAAGGCATTGTGGGTTTGTTGTTTTTCCTACTGAAGGCCATCAAGAACATGTCCAAATTTCGTGGCTATCACATTAATCAAAGGGAAACAAAATCTAAGGACAAGAAGCTAAACAGATGTTTTAAGAATGTGAGACAGGGGCTGTAAAAGACATAGGAGGGAAAAAAAAAGTCCATTTTGATTTGTGAAGTTAGTTTAACACACATAAATAGAGTATTTTTGCAGGAAAAAGCTTCTCATTTGTCACCTAGAAGGATATAACTGGATTTTATGACATATTCATATCACTGTATTCTATTCTCTTCTACCCATACATGATTTTTACTCAGCATCAGCTACTGCATACCTGCATACTCATGAATATCTGCTCAGATATTTCAGGAAAGATTTGCCCTTTGAATAAATGTATGTTCCACATTAAGGAAGAGGAAAAACAAGTCCTAAAAAAGGCCCTTTACGCTCTCCTTACTTAGCAAATGATGCAACTGTGAGATCTCCTGTTTGACCACTGTTGCTTTCATCACCCCATCAAAGCCCAAAATTCACCCAGCCAACATGTATGACAGAGGAACTAACACGTAAGTCCAAAGGGCAACTGACCCAAAATGGAGACCTTGCTCAGGAATTCTTCATACATTTTCCGCTTCCTCAGTGTGCTGCCCTGTTATTAAAGGAGAGAGAAAAAGAAGGTAGAACATTACACGAAGTATTTTTGTGATTTGTTCCTACAGCTGCTCTCTTTGTTTTCCCCTCCCCTTCCTGATCTTGAGCATAGCCAGAATAAACAGCCTAAGGCAAATGTTTCCCCATAAAATGTCTGGGCAAGTTGTACTCCTGATAAGCAGCAGCAGAGGGAATCAAATTCAATCCTGGTGCAATTTCACTGACTTCACTGGTGTTACTGGACACCAAGGATGATTTGGGTCCATTATTTACAGACACTCATTTTTAAGCCAGAGCTTCATCAATTAACTGTTTAGCTAATTCAATATATATTCTGTTACCACTGAGGCCCTACTACAAGGGAACTTACTATTACAAAGCGTCCCTCATGGATCCCATTCCTTTAGATTTAAACCCCTTTAATGCTAAGAATGCTTGTGTGTATGCAAATGTTTCTTTATGTATGTATTGCTACTGCTAAGTAACCCATTCACATCATTATTTTAACAAGATTTAAGCAATTTGGAGCAGACAATCCACCAACATGTCCAGCCACCTGCACCGGTGCTCCTAATCTAGAGGAAGACCTTTCGAGCAATATATATGTGAGAGGATGTACGCTTGTGTCGTGTTTGATGTCTACAGAGGGACATCCCCAAAAGCTTTCAGGGAGATTCAGTGATGAATACATGCAGTGCAAATTTACCAATACCAGAACAATTTATCCCTAACCACCCTGGGGATCCCAAGAGGGATTCCGGGGTCCCTGCTGCTCCCGTGGGGTTCATGCCATGCGGGTACATAGCAGCCCGTGGCATTTCTGCCTGCAGAGATCCTGCCCAAGGTCGCCTGGTTCCTGCTAGTCACGTTTGCAAAGTGGGAGTGCGGCTGAACGATGATATATCCATCTTCTGAGGCAAAGAGGAATGAGCATGACATTTACTCATAGCCCGGGTGGATAAGGCAGAAGCAAATGTTAGTGCTTGCTATAGAACAAAAATGTTTCTCTTTTCCTCCTTTCCCAAGCGTTAAGTGCCTGAGGCAGGGACAGGACAGGAGGACATACAGAGGGGAAGGAGAAAACTCATGTGGCCCGAGCAGGGAAGGCTGGAAATATAGAAGTGGGAAAGGTCGCTGTATCCATGTTGGAATTACAAAAATGGGAAAGGCCATTGCGTCCAGGTGAAGGGACAGAAGAGGCAAATGACATCCCTCTTCCCATGTGTACTTGTCAGGTGGGGCTTCATCTGGTGACCACCGAAGAAACAGGGCTCTATCTACCAAATTCAATAGCCTTAGGCTCCAGCTTCTAACAGCAGCGTCAGCAGAGGCTGACAGGGGCTCTCCTCCGGGCACTGCCATCGTTTTTGCTCTCTCTGATCCCACACAGTCCCCGAAGCCACTGCTTGTCCTGGGTGGCTCCAAAGCAGAAGCACCGCGACTCGCGTGGCCTCCCGCTCTGCTCCCCTTCCGCGATCCCCGCGCGCGGCGGTGACACTTCTCCTCACAGAGATAGCATCGCTCACCCCCGCCTGACCTCGCCGTCTGACAAACCGGGCTCTCCACCTCGGAGGCCCCGGGAGCATTCGAAACGCCAGAAAGGAAAAATGAACTTCAAACGGAGGAGGCTCCGTGCGCCGCGCCAAATCCTGACAGCTCCCCCGGAGACGAGGGATGGAAATGTGGGCCCGGCGCCGCCGCTGCTCCCCTCCCTGCATCCCGAGGTGGGAACCAGACTGGCCAAATTGAGAGCTGTGGAAAACCAGAGTGGTGGTTTAGTTCGGTGGGCTGGGACACCCAAGGACAGATGTGGAAAATGCTTTTGAAATGACTGTGGATACAGATGAATTTTAAGAAGCAGTAATCAGCTGCCATAAGTGTGGCCTAACCACAGCTTGGAGTATTTAGAGAAGCAGGCGAGAGCTGGGAAGGTTCGAATCCCGGCTGGCTCCGAGAGCCGGAGACCAGCAATTCCCACTGGACAACGGTGTGTTAGCCCCTGGCTACACAAGGTGAGCACCTTGCTCCAGAATTCATGGCAAACCAGCACAGAAGCTAAGCTGAAGTGAAAAGGATTAATAAAATGTGTCGTTATTACTGTATGCATCGTGGTAGCACCTAGAACCTTAGCTCCGGTTGGGACTCCACTTGGTGTATCCCACTGGCGCAACTGGATCCTTTTTTTTTTTTTCCCCCCACAAAGGAAGAGTTCGGATCACCATCACACACTGTTAAGGCCCACAACATTGCTTTGTTTTCATCTTAGTGCATTTTCCTGCTATAATGATCTGAGGGGAAGCAATTTAGAGAGCACTGTGCTCCAATATAAGCTAAAAAAAAAAGAATCAGTAGAAGTCTCACAAACAACCAAAGCATGTTTTTATTTCCAGCAGTGTTAATGACCTTGCCTCCGCATGAAACACAGGGAGAGAGCACATTTTGATCAGCCTAATATTCCCTCCTATATGTTTGATGTCACCTTGGACTCTGAAGCCCTCATTTACTTTTTATTGTCACCTTGTTAGGTCTATGCACCTCATCCAAATTGTAGCAGCAACGAGTACGAAGGGTATCACAGTCTTCTGTACTGCCACCCAAGTCACTTCCACAGAAGGGCCAACCAGTATGCTCAGCACGACACGTGTTAAGTCTGATCTTACATAATATCTTCATGAATGGTCTGGAAGCCGCAACAAATCAGACAGTAATGAAATCTGCAGACTAGGAGATACTAGGGAAGTTTGCCAGGACAGGAAAATAACAAAAAGGGATCTAGAGACATTAGAAGTGGAAGCAGAAAATAACAAAATGAGCTTCTGTTTGGAAAATACAGCTAAGAAACATAAAAGGGAAAAAAGAAACAAAGCAAAGCATGGATATTTAATGAAAGGAAGACTGGAAAGTTGCAAAGCTGAAGAGATTTGCAGGCAGTAGGTAAGACTTGGCTTGCTATATCCTACTGTAAATAGAATATAGTTAACAAAATTTGATCTCTATATGGAAGGCCATCATCAAGGAGTGAAGATCAGAGGCCTCATGTCCATGGCCATCTCCATGGCTTTCGCCCCTCTGCTTGGGTAACTCATTTCCAGAAAAGTGCTCCAAAACTGCACAGAGCCTGAATATCTGCTGAAAGAGCTTGGGAGAGCTGGTAAGGAAGGAGCAAAGCAAATTCCACCTACAGAATATAGCTTAGTACTGGGATGCTACGTATGGCACGTTCATAACTAGTGTGATCAGTCGTGAACATTTTAAATAGACAGTGATAATCACTTATGGATATATGACAAAAAGAAAGCCTAACTTACTATAGCCTAACCTGACATAAGTGCAAGGGTATAGTTAGAGTAATAATGAGTGTATAAGGGGAAAGTTAAGAACATGCAATTTAAGATGAACATCAAAAAAGTCTTCTCAACTTAAGATTTGTTCTCTTGCAGAAGTTTCCCAAGGGAAGCAGTAGAAATCTTGTTGCTTGAACCATATAAAAACAATAGTAAGTGTACAAGAATAATCTTGTATTGGCAGGGTTCTTGATGGCATGTTCTAAAAAGTCTTTATTATTTCTGCTTTTTCTAACCTATTAATATCTCCTTATTTCAATTGTCTCTGCTTCTCCCTCTCCCCAGCTTCCTTTGTTCACCTTCTTGCCGATTCAGAGCTGTCATGCACCAGCTCATCTTCTTAAAGATAGTGGTTCCAATTAACAATGAAGAGTCATTAACATGAGGAGTCATTAAATCCTGAACCACAATGCTCCTCCCCAAAAGGAGAAACCATTTGTTTGCCAAATCCACCCAGAAAAGTCTTTTTTTTTTTTTTTTAGGAGCGCTTAGAATGTGGCAAGCCCTAAACTTAGCTTAAGTAAAGGCCGTGAAATCTGAATGTCACTGAAATTATATCAGGTCTTGTTGAATCTGTTTTTTTTTTCTGAGAGTTTAGAGGAGTGCATCCATTTTCCAACTGTTCCTTCTTCACTTCCTCCATTTTCTTCCACTCTTCCTTCCCACTCTTCCCGTCCGGTCTCTCTTCCCTCTGCTCCTTGCCCTGTACCTCCAATCCTCCTACTGTCTTCTTTCCCGCTCCCTTTTTCCTGGCTGTCTAGATGGGCTGCTCGGGGTAGATTGGATCTTTCCTAGAAATCCCCACCTTCGCTAAAAAGCCAAACAAATGGCTACCAAAAGGCAAAGCATGGCTCAAGTTTCAAATAAAAGAGTTATGCTGGCAGGTATGCAGCTGGCAGGAAGCGCCAGAAAGGCCTTCTGGACTGCTCCAGCTCCCTTTAATCCCTGGGTAAACCCGATATTGAAGGATGCCTCGTATGTACATTCTTATGGCAGCATGAAAAAAAAGAGAGTCACTCAAACAATGTGTACTGGCCCCATGAAAACAAAATTCCCTGCAAGACCCCGGTGCTCTATTGCACAGATGGTGCAGGTTTGGGATTTGCTTTGTGTTTTGGCCACCAAGCAGTCTATGTTCTGTGGAATCATGAAGCCCTTCACTTGCCTGAGCGGTAAAAAGCACTTGTTAAAGAACTTGTTCTTCCATTCATAGCTGTGAAAAGATGGCAAAAAAAAAAGCCAAAATAGCATAAAGAAAAATAGACATAACAGTAGGGACTGACTAATCCTGATTAGTCATTATTTATATCGCAGTAATACAACTCACTTTCTAAGAGCAAAGCTGGCCCATCCTACTTCGTACTGAGCACATAAATTAAGGTCCTGGAAGAAAAGTCATTGCTGTGTACATCCCATTAAAGGTGGGAAGGTAAAAGTGACCAAACTGCTAATGCTGGATGTCATGCAGGCAAAAAGTTTGTATCTAATGTGCAACAACACTCTCAGGCCAGGTATTTTGGACCATGGGAACTAGAGGGTACCAAAATTATTCTGAATCAGGCCTTCTTACAGAAGAAATTACGAGAAATTAATACATGAAATTTCCTCAGTCTGGGAACTGAACTGTCTGGGGGATCAATTTGATGTTGGGATACAGACATTTGCTTCTCTGGTATTTGTGGTATTTGCTATATTTAGAATACAAATATTGTACTACCCTGGGATGTTCCCCAGTCCGCGATGCTCTTGAATCTCAGTTGCACTGAAGAGAGAGCAACATTTTAGCAACTGAACTACATGAGAATCCTAAAATAAAACGCCTTTTCATCTCACTCAGGAGACTGTAAGTAAATAAATACAGCATATGTACATATATATATGTGTGTATGTTTGAGTATGCACATACCCACACAGCAAACAAAAGACACTGCAACAGCAAGAAACATGCAACACAGGAGAGAGAAGTCTATGAGACAAATGGAACACACGTGGTTAGATAATTTGTGAGTGCATTGAGAGGGGAACACGTTGAAGGAATTGAAGTGGCTTTTTTTATTCCATCTACTGCAACAACTTCATGCAATTCTCTGCAAATCTTAACAAAAAAAAAACAAGATCAACATTCACCATCATTACAGCTGCTAAAACAAACCTGAGTATAACCCTTGAGTCATCAGTATAGCTAAAGAGAGACAATGAAACATGAAGAAATAAATATATTTTAACCAGCTTCTTTTGGGACAGGCTAATGTAATAAATGGATGACAAGTGTAACTAAAAGTCAGCAGGATCTCTTTGCATGAGGCTTTGTCCATCCAAAAAAGGGAAGAGCCAAACTCCCACACCTTCTGAAATACATTTTACTCATACCATAATAAACCAGGTGGTATGACATGTATGGCGCAACAAAATATGTAGGCAAAGGAAAAGGCAAGAGGCAGAATTAAACATTTGAATTGACTAAATGCGAAGCAAAGAACTTTGAAATGCAGCCTGCAAGGAGAAATGAGGTACAGAGTCAAGTGCCTAATGACAGGATAAAATCTTTTTGGCAACTGTGGATCTGAAGATATCATTTGCAAATAAATAGTTACAGCTTGAATAAAATTTCAACACTAGGCTGAGAAAATATGGAGCTGGTCATGGCCAGGAAGGAATGCAGACAAAAGAAAAACCTACCACTGGTTATGGAATAGCTTAATCTTACTAAAGAAAGAAAACATATCTTTGGAGAAAAATGCCATTGATCCCTTGGATAAAAATATTTGCAAACAGGAAATCAAAAAAGCCCTGCTCCCTCTCAGTTTTAAAATCATCTTAATGATATATTTCAAAAGATACCCTAGAAACTACTACCTCTCATTTCAAAGCGGAAGTATTCCTGCATCCAAAATATCCAGCAGCTTTCTGGAAGCATAAGGTTTGCATAAAGCAAAACCAGCCATGTAATGGCAGAGATGCTTTCAAGTATGAAACATAGTCCCTAAAACATAACTAACCTCTGGGCTTGCCAGAGTGTGCAGAGAGTAACTGCAACCTGCTCTCAAACACAAGCACAGAGATGGGGGCCGCATTTCACTTACAGCCAAGGGACGGTTCACACTGCACTTTTGCAAATAAGTAAAAAGAGGACAGAATCAGCATCATTTGGATGAGTAAATCACAATCACAATGGACAAAATGGAACATTTCTATACTTGAAGCAGCTAATTTCCCTTGCTACCTACAATATTTCCTATCTAAGTACTGACAATATTAAAATTACACTGAATAGGTATCTAGTGAAGTGCAGTTTTAATGCATTTCATCAACTTTTAATGACCCAATTGCACAAAAAAATTAATAAAAAAATAAAAAAGGAAAAAATATTAAGAGAGACAAGAGAAACTCTGTGTTAAACTCAAGTTCTCATGAACTGGAAAAAAATGAGCTTGCAATGTACCTTGTCACTGCTTCAGAGAATAAATACACGCATTTGGAAACCGCTTACCCACTGCACTAGAATCAAACTGAAGTACAATAAATAACATTCAATTTGTACATGTGGATAAAGCTAGCATTAAAAAAGAACAGCTTTTCCCATTTGAGATTATCGACCCTTATAGTAAAATCCTGTCTCTTCATCAAATACTCCTGTTCTGAAAGCTGCGATTAGATGATGATGGATGCATGACCAAACCTGAACAGCTCACAAGCTTGAATGATGCTAGGTACCACTAATTTCATCAGTGCTGAAAGCAGAATTACCTCAAGGCTAGAAGGACTGTGAATCTGTCCCTTCTATTCTTTAGAAGCAAGATTAAAGGCAGCCGTAAGAAGCTATTCTTAAAAAGCCAATAAATACGTGACTTGTCCTGACATTTATTTCCCTCCCTGCATTCCTTCTTTATACCCTTGAGTCCTCCTTGCAGTATGTAGTTTGATCACACCAGTTATCCTAAACACTTCTCCCTCGTCTCCATGTAGAACATGGGACTAAGGAGCAATGTGCTCTTCATAAATCTGCTGGGAAATTCTCCTGCCTCATGAGTTAGAAATATCTTAGAGAAACATCTCAGCTACTAATATTTGCCTTGCCTTCACTGGGAAGCATTCAAAAACTGTTCATCCTGCTTAAACATGAAAAAGAAAACATCCTGCTTCTCATTATTATATTTCTATCTTGTGTTGGAGCTACCAGCCTGAATCTTCCAGGACAGAGGGTATTTCCATCAGACATATTTCCTAGACTCAGCATGATATTCATCTTTGAGATAGAGAACTTTGTCCATGAAATAGAGAGTGAAAAACAGAAGCAGATACCAGATAGTACAAATAAATCAGCTAATAATATAATAAATTACAATTACGTATTTATTATTTATTATTTATATTATATAAATAAAATATAATAAAGATTGCCTTACATGCTGTCACATAAGAACTAATTATTCAAATGTAAAATCTACTCAAACTTTTTGCTATTTTTTCTATTCTCCATGACATCAGTGAATCTATGTGCAATCTCAAAACACACCTTCCCTCATTATGCTGAGAAATAGCATAGTTTCCTTCAGGTCTGAATGAAACAATGCAGCTTTCAGAGTCAACTCCTACTGAGAAAGACACTTTAAATAAAGTTATCTGTCTGCAAATTATCAAGAAGAAAGAAATATTTTATGGAGAAGGAAGAGATATGCACAACGACATCAGAAACAAGCAGTCATAAAAAAAAAAAAGACTTTGCTAAAGTTAATTATCTGCCAAAGCTTCCATTATAAACCCACTACTCAAGAACTGACAGCAAATCCATAGCCTAGCACACACTCCAGATGCCCAGAGGGTCTGCTGAGCTTTACTGCAGAGGTTGGGGTGTTGGAAAGGAATGGAGCTGTGAGTTAGCAAAACCTCCCTGCAGCTCTGCATCCGCTCAGATTGGTGCTCACCAGCAGAGATGGAGTGTGTAGTCCCAACGAGACTTATTTTAGCAGACCACAATCTAGTATCACTTGCCCAGAAGAGCTCACAGTTATCAGTTCAAAGATCATACAGGCAGGAGGTAGTGCTGAAAGATGTTTAGAGATTTTCAGTAAGAAGGAAAGCATGTGCATTAGCTCTAATGGGTCATGGAGGCCCCCGGAAGTTTTCATACTTCTATGCACTTATTCATAAATAATAGTATAAATCAGTCCATAAATCAGTAAAATATTGTTACTCAAGGTGCTTTCTGCCTTGGCACCTTTCTGCTGAATCTTATCACCTTCTACTTTACTTTACCTAAAATACTTTTAGAATGTTATGGCCAAGTACTCTCTGTTTATTTAGAAACATAGACTGCAGAGCTTTTTATCATTAATGTCATTTGGACACAGGATGGAAGTGCAGTGCACAGTTCTGGCACTAAGAAAGAAACTAGAAAATAGCAGTTTTGAAAACTCATTCTCCATACACTTACCATTAAAATGCGTCTGTAGCTGTCTCTGTCGATGCCCCAAAGCTTGAGATCTGTCTTGGCCTTGACTGTAGCAGCCCTGGGTGTTCCATAGATCAGGGCAAGCTCCCCAAAGCTGCCTCCTTCTCCAATGCTGGTGACCCATTCTCCATTGACATAAACCTAATGTGCAAAACCGGGAGAGAAGCAAAAACCGTTTGGGAACTCCTCCTACTGCCAGTTACCTAAAAGGCTATTAGCAATTTCCTTCCTAATAGTCAACGCTGGAGATGCTGGAAGAAAACAATAGTTTCCTCAGTCAGCCACAAAAGAGGGCAACAACCTGTTTTGTGGACAGGATTTCAAGTCATCTTGCTTCAGTACAATGACTGTATTTACTCTCTGATTTTTCAGCTCCTGTGGTTAACTGGCATCAAGTTTTCCTTCTGGCGTTCAAGTCTCAGACAATGGACAAGCAGAACGGCCACAACTTTTGCCTTTTTATTAACACTGCCAGATTTGAAAGGAAGGAGATTTGTCGAAAGGTGTAATGAAGTTTGATGAAAAATACTATAGCCGTGAAATGGAAAACAAACAAAATGGGGAGACATCTTCCAAAAAGGAACATTTTTTTCTCCTTTAAGTCAGTACCTCCAACAGCCACTTAAGGATAACTATCAAAATCTCTCTCTGTCTTAGTGAAGAATACTAAGTGCTTTAGATTTGAGAAGCTATGCACAGAATTATCCCTTACATTTAACTCATTCAGCAGTTCTACAGAACTTACAAAACAGTATTTGACGCACAGCCTTTTTAGATAAGATATCTTCCCAAACCCTGGGATGGATTTATACAACCATCCACAGCATTTTTTCCTGGATGACATATAATTTGAGTAGAAGTCTTACACTTTCGTGCTACGTAAAACCTCCATTGGAGAAAGGGGGACTTGTGCAGGTGCTTTCCACTGGGCTGCCTTTTCCTCTCCATTCATTGGCAATACAGCTTATGAAACATAGTAGCATATTCTAGGACCAGTATGGATTGTGTATTATGCAGCTTGCTTGTAGCTTTGCTGCTACAAACCTACACAATAAACCCTTTTCATTCTGTTAATGTGTCAGTGAGTTTAGAGAGTAGGAAAGGCTGTGTGCCTTTATCTAGTACAGAATGTATCCCAATGTGCAACAGACCAAAAACAACAGTAATCCACCAGAATGAATTTCATTTGTTTGGCAGTTTGTGAATAGAAACGTAAAGAAAACTTCAGGTACTCTCAACTCAAGCAAGAAACTATGGCAAAAGAAGAGGCCATAACCTACTATCAATTACTGAGTAACAGAGCCTCATTTTTTATAAATATATAAACTAAGACTAATCTTAAGCTAGGCTAGAAAAGTTGCTAACCAGAACAAATAACCTGGGGTCAAAAGTCAAAGAAGTGTCAGTATTAATTTTATTTCTGCCTTCGTTTTATGATGAAAAAGCATGTTATGCTGAAAAAGCATGTTATAAACTACAACTGAAATCAATCCCAATTCACCTTCCCAATATCCAATCAAGCTCCAATTCCACTCCTGCTGAGCTCAGTGAAAAGCTGGTTCAGTAGGAGCTAGATGAGGCCATGGACCAGTTCAGCTTGTCAGGAGACCTCTGGGATTTGTGTAACAGCTGAAAAGGAGCAGTATTAGCATTACTGCTCAACTACAAATGGATCTTGGTGTTCCTGGAGTGTCTGAGGATCAAAAGGCTGAAATAATGGGTAAAAATAAACCAAAATAGGCAGGTCTTGTGTTTAAGAGCACAGTATTTGCTCAATAAGAAGTGGTAAGGTAAAATGATTCACCGAGGCAAGAGCAATTGCATTAAGGGACATAAAGCAGAGTTTCAATTTTAAGTGGGGAAGCATACTCATTCCAACACCTATTTTTTTTAGCAATATGGTAATATTCCTTCTTAAAATAGTGTTTTATGACTGCTGTGCAGAGATAGGAATTAAGCTGGTGAAACTCAAGGTAGAAGAAATAAAGGACAGACATTTACTGCTGCACGGCTGTTATAGAGAGGTTACTACTAATCTGCTCCAAGACATCTTTATTTTTACTATCTCACTTCACAAGACTCCCCCAGACATGTTTGACACGTAGCCTGTAAACAGTTTATGCAAATGCTCCTTCTCCCACCCCAGGTGTGTCAAGTTTAAAATTCTCTGTAGTGAAACCAAACTGTTGATATGACAGTCCTTGAGGGCAGCATTCACTGCCCCAATAAAAATGCCATTTCCAATATCAATCTCCAAAAGACAAAATAACATAAGAATAATTCTTCTTCTTTTAAGAAGAAAGCCATTCTATTTTGTTCTCTGGAATGGCCTAAGTCAACAATAAACTTTTGTCTCCATGATGATGCTAAATTGCATTGATGATGTATTGCATTCTGCCCTTTAGCAAAGAGTTCATGTAAAGTATCTCTATTTGTAAGGTGTGGGGAGTAAAGTTATTTTAGTCTGACAGCAGCTTACAAAAACCGATGTTATACGGCAGCAGCTCGGAAGATCTCCTTCTTTAGCCCCCAAAATACTGGGCTGAGGTTTGGCTTGTACTGTTTTAGGCATCTGTGAACTCTAACCAAAGTTGCCAATACACAGCTGGATTATTCCTGGTTCTTACTTGAACTGCCCATCACAGCTGCATGATAGCTGCATCCTTCTTCTTTTATGCAGCTGCCAATACCCAAATCCAAAGAGGAATAAAGCAACCAGAACCTGCTACTTCCCACAGACCAGAAGTATTCCAGATTTCCATTGCTTTCCATCATTTAGTACGAGCACTGCAATTCTTGTGGGCTTAAAAATCACACAACTTTGTTCACGTTGTTATTTTTTTAAGAAGGCAAGTGGGAAAAATCTACAAACCTCAGCAATTCCTTTCTTCAAAGGCTGTGATATACATATGTGCTAATTGTGAGAGAAAATGCAATGAGTCACCCAGTGCTCAATGCACTAGGAATGCGCCTTGCCCTCATTCATCTTCGTGTTGTCTAGAGAGGCAAAATGTAATCTTACCACTAACGGTAATATAACTAATTTACTTTGCAAGTAGGATAGGATCATAAAACTCCTGAGCTTCATAGGAGTGAATTTACCTTTACTACGGAGTCTTTAATTTTGTATTGCTGTTTTCAAATTAACTTTCAGCATTTTTTGCTGCCACTTTGTGATCTACATGGACAATATAATTTGTTCCAGGCATTGCAACTTTCAGATCTTAAATCTCCTCCCTCCCCGGGATCTGTTTGTAATAATTTGTGCTTTGTGTCTTGTCAAGCCTTAATATTTGCTCTCCAGAAATGAAGATGAGATTCATTTCTTCTTGGAAAAATAGGCAAGTCTTAGATATGAAAGGTATTTATCTGTGGGTAACTTTCTCAAATACAGCCAGTTTTTTCTTAATATAAATATATGAACTTGAAGACTGTATTGAGAATCCTTAAAAATTCAAATATGGAAAAAGCAATTTTAAAATTTCCTGTTTAAAATTTCCAAAAGCATCCTTCTGAAATTAAGAAGGTATCAAATCAATCAGGATAATGGTTTCCCCCATTCAAACTAAAAGTAACCTATGGAAACTAACAGTGAACAGTAAAATGGAACTAGTTTCAAAATCCAGCTTTATTCTCACATAAGCCACTATATAATATTTATTCTGCTTATATAATCTAGACAATCTGTATATACAATTATGGGCTTCAGAGAGATTTGACCTACAATCAGAAGATAATCTGTTCTCCACAATATTGACTTATAGCTCCAAATATAACTCAATACAGTAATACATAATGTACTTAAGACAAAAAAATGCTTAAAAGTTTTATTTTGATTTTCAATACTCTATATTTTGGTATTTATTGTTTTATAAGTAGGAAATAAGAAAATGTCTGCAGAAATAGGTGCTGTGCTATTAAATAGAATAGGGAGTTTTTGAGCCTAAAAAAAAAGGCTGTTTTAAAAGGAGAGTGGACACTCCTTTTTAAAGTAAAAAATGTGAGGTTAAAAGATTAAAATAATAAACAGGAAGTTATTTTTATATTTAGAAATATGGATTAGGGATTTTTGCAAGACACATACTTTAGCAGGTACTTTCAACATCTTTACTGGAAACTATAATTTAAGCTTTGCCAGATACTTTTTGGCATACATTCACATTTCTCTAAGCAAAAAAGCTTCCGGTAGACAATTGACCTCTGAGACATAAAACCTCAAGCCATGATCTACCTCGTATAAACTTCATCCCTATGCAGGGCCAAAGCAGGAGATAATGATCCTGTTCCAACAAGCGATGATCCGTTATGGTGCTGCCCCTAAGCAGTGAAGGAGGAGGAAGACTGTCACTGACAGTGCCATTATGTCCCTTCCAGTCCAATGTTTGGCCAGAGACTTAGCCATACGTGGCTTGTAGTAGCCAACGTGTGCAAGGAACAAACTCAGGTTGCTCCCAGACCTACCTCTCGCTGATGTCCTCCCTACCAATAGTGTCCTGGGGAGTCATACACAGCAGGAACGTGATTGCTTGCTCCCCTCTCACACAAGGCACTGTCACACAAGGCAGGTGACAAGCTGCCCTAAAGGGAGTCTCCAAAAATAACAGGCAGCAGTCAAGAACTCCCAGCACCTCTATGGATGTCTGTCCACCTCGACCGACTTCACCTCAGTTTCCGTATACTTGCAAATCACCATCCCTGCCAGAGGGAAGTGAAATTAAATGTCTCTCCTTTTCACACAAAAATCTGTGCTTTTCTCCCTTAGCCTTGGGTTCATGATGAGCTGGGCAGTGCTTGCCAAGTGATGGTATTGTATCTTATTTGGCTGTCTGTTGTAATAACCGGTAAAGGTGCTTTATTTTATGGATGTACTGAAAGTGCTTATTCATACCCTAACCAAGAGAGAATGCTGAAGATAATGTTATATTTAAGAATAGCATATTAAATTGTACTCTAAATTTGACATAGATTATTTCTAAGGGAGACCTCTCTTTCATCAGAAACCTCTTACATGCTTTTGGGGCATCCATTCTGATACTCTGACCACTCTTGATACTCTAAATAACATGTGATTAATTGTGTGGTTTTGTTTTGTTTTTACTTAAAACACTACATGCTACTTCTGCTATTCTGATTTTGGTTTTGATTTGATTGTTTTCAGTTGCTTGGTTGATTTTTTTTTTGTTCTGCCCTGACTTCCTTCCAGGGGACGGAAATTTTATGATGGCATTCACCATCTCCTTCACGTTCATCTATGCAAGCCTATGGAAAACCTGGCTGTTTATCAGTCCCCAGAGTAAATTGTTCCTTAAATCCCCAGTCCTGTTATACCTGCCACTTCTGTGCAGATCATGGAAATGATGAAAGTAGATGGTGTGGCCAGGGGTTAAAAGGCCTCAGTGCACATGCCAACACCAACTGAACTAGGCAGAAAATGGCTTGAGGCTTTAAGTCTCAGGGTCAATTGTCTACTCTCCAAGTAGCTCTTTTTCTTGGAGAAGTGTGGAAGAATGCCAAGAAAGTATCTGGCAAGGCTTAAATGAACTGCAGCTCACTTACTAGCAGCCTGGGTTTTCTTCGGACAAGAGGGATTTTAGCACTGCTGCTCAGAAACTGGAAAAAAGTTGTTCTGGGAGGCACTGTATTTAGTGTGCACCTATGGGATGTGGAAGCTGCTGCTTTATGTAGGGGCATGAGCTGTGGTACTGAGTGCCCTGGTGTGCACCTTGTGCAGGAAGGGAGACGCAGCACTGGGAATTCAGTGTGTTTTTCAATGAGGATGCAAGATAGGCTTAGGGAGGAGAGGGTATCCAGAGACAGGAGCAGTAAAGCTGCAAGAGAATGAAGGAAGAGGGGTCAGGGGCAGCTTAGGGGAGCTGGTCACATGCAGGCTTGTGGGGTCAGGAGGTTTGGCTGTCACTGGAATACACTCCATCAAAATGGCATCTCCTAAGCCCTGTTAGGATGTATTTTGTTATTTGCTGAGAAGCACCTTGGGACGTGTCAGGATAACATTATCACTATCTATCCATTCTGACCATTTTCCTAGTAAGTACAAGCTGATTTTGGCTACTAGGGAAACTGGGGTTGAGGATGCTTGTGAAAATGAATTTATGATCTAACTCAAAGAATCAGTTATTTCATTATAAGCAGCTTACTCCCTAGAAAATCTGCTGTTGCAAATCTCAGAGCAGGTAAGAAAGATGCCTAAGAGGGAGGGCCGCAAAACAGCCTGTACCATACATGACTGACTGGAGGACTGCAAGCTAAACAAAGAAAAAATCTGCCTTCAACTCTAACAAAGTGTAAAACAAAGCTGTGCACTTTGATCTTCATCAAAACAGCGAGTGAGCCTGACTCTGTTCAGGAAAGAGACTCATAAGATCAGTCAACTTTACACATATGAGTCCCATTGAGGCCAACAGAATTATTCACATGCTTAAGGGCAGACCAGTGCTTACGTACCTTGTCAAACCAGAGGCTGGAGATAAAATTTTTGAAAATATCTTTTCAGCTTCAGAGCAGACATGGAACTGCTCTGCAGTGGGACTGAGACCACTGTAGTATTGTAGCGTGAGACTTCCATGGACTAAAGAGACCATCAATGAAAAATGATCTGGACATATCTTGTCTCTTCTTTGTTCATCCCGGTTCACGATTATTTACAAAAGACTTTGAACCTTCCATTAAAAGGAGAACCTCTGATACACCACTAACGGGATGGAGTAAAGGGGCTTCTGAGACAGATGTCAGGACATACCTGGAAAGGAAGCTCAGAAATCCTTTTGCCTGAGAAGAGAATACAGCAAGTCATGCTATAAAGAAGTGCCTCTCAACTTTTGCAGAGCCAAGGCCACCTTGGTCACTGCTGGCAGCCACCAGTTAGAAAAAAAACCATAAACCACCTTGTGCAACAGTTCTACAAGCAGATTCAAAGCTAGGAGAACTCTGGGCATTTATTTTCCCCATTTTGTCACTACTCTTGTGTGTAAGAGGAATATGTACATAAGGCAGATTTCTTTCTGCAGCTAATTGCAAGAGTTTTCCAGACCACTTTCTGGTGTCATTCACACCCCCATCCCTGAGACGAACACTGAAGAATACTTTCCTGAAGGTCCCAAGCAAGAACAGATTATTTTTAAATAGAATTAATCTATAACTTCAATATGTGCATTTGCGTATGAGGATCTGATTCAAAGCCAGCGAAGTCATTAAACGCAGTACCAAGCTCTAACAAATTATTTTAAGGCTAAATTTTAGCACTGTTCTATAAATATTGCCCTTTTATTTTCTGGCAGAGTCGATGTGGCAATGTTTGCTAGTGAGAGGTATGCCTGATAGGAACCATGAGTCAGACGGATTTCCTGAGAAGCAACTTCCAGAAGCAGAGGCAGCGAGTGAGGTTTCTCAAATCCCAACAATACCAATTAGACAGTCTCCTGACACAAACAGACTTCTAAAAAAAAACATATTTCACTAAAATAACCGTATGCCTCCTGCTGGACTTAAAATAAATCACTTTCTTCTTTAAATACTCCAAACAAAACACATCTGGGTGTCTGAATGCCAGCATTGCTAATCAGCAAGGCCATCCTACCTGACAGCTATGGATGCATCAGACACAGTTTCTAGGGGATTCATTCAACTGAGTACCACAGAAAGCTGCAAAAGGGTCAGTTCCTCACAAAAAGGAAATGATATGATGTGATTAAATTAGGAATGGGAGGGCAGGCTCAGAAGCAAGCTTTGTTTCAAAGACTTGCTGATTAAACCGCCACAAGCTCCTGTAAACATTTTGTGGTCTAACAGTGCACTTAATACTTACAATAATCCTTGCTTTCTTAATATGTTGCATTGTTTGTATACGTGGACCTAATTTTAAAAGCAAATTAAGGTTTCTAAGATGAAACTAGCTGCCTGAGGCTGTATCTCAATTTGAAAAAAAAATGCACATGAGTTAAGCTAGCTGATTAAAGAAAATATTTTCCTTATGGTTCATCTGAACCCTCAGGTGCATTCCAGCATGGTGGCCTGCTCTGCCAAAGACTGCACACCTTCAGGTGTGGTTGGGCTTCTAAAGATAACGTCATTTGCTTGGTTTTGATACCATATTTTCCTGCTTGGGATGGACAAATAAGCCAGCATGTAAAATATGCCAAGTATAAAACTATGCACAAATGACTTAACACAACAAAAGCCAACTAATGAGACCAATCCTGTGAAAATTGTGTAAAGAACAATAGAAGCAGAACCACGGATTATTGTTGGATTGTACTTTCAGAATAAATACCAGACTGCAAAAGTATACATTTTAAAAGACAAGTGCATGTTTCCAAATGTAGCTAATAAATACTTACATCCACCTCGCCTTGGTCAATCACATAGAAGTTGTCACCTTCGTCACCTAGAAGCAAAATATAAGTGATGATTGTTTCCTGAAGGTCTGCTAAAATGTAATTTCCCGTCTCCATATTTAATTCTGTACATATTTGCACAGGTTTGTACACCCGATTAGTTAAAAGAGGATTCCTTTTCTTAAACGTCCTTGCTTATTTTCCTTCATAAATTAAAATATCACTATGATTTCTTCCTATTAATATCTCTCAAGTGTATTAATTTCTCTCTTTTGATTGATTCAGCACTTTGTTCAGTGTAAACACACAGGATACTTCAGTATATCCCGAGGATAATGAAGTCCTCCACAACATGCTGCAGGCATGCAGGTAAGTTGCCAAGTGTGATAACTATGATACAGCACAATGAGGTGTTGAATATTCCCGACAACCATAGAAATATTTTCCATCTCTAATTACTCCCAGTGAGGCTGTGCCACCCTCACTCATTCTCAACTGTGCTTTACTTGTTGAGTAGTTTAACTTACGAAATGAATGTTTTTAAATATAGGAATTTGGCTAATTGTACCACTACAAAACCCTGTGACGGACCAACACCTCTACTAATGTATAGCAAAAGACAGTCCTTGCATCAATAGACTTATGATACAGCATTAACGCTTACAGGATTTTGGAATGTAGTCATTCTTCTCATTAAGCAAAGAGGATGAAATCTCAGATGGAGACATGTGAATTGCACAATCTTAGCAAATATGCAAGTTAAAAAAAAGAGGGGAAAAATTACCCTGTTGTATGACTGTTTCTCCTGCAATGTGTGTAACAGGGAACATGGCATCAAATATGTCACTGGAAAAGAAAACAAAAGGCATCTGTTAATGAATCAGATTTATTTTTTAGACCTGCATTCATTGCTTCATTAAGCCTTCATTAACAGATTTTACAGAAAAAGAAAGGGAATATGTTAGTTGTAACTGCAAAGTAAGCCCCTGCTTGGCACAAAATCAATATAACTAGTTTAGCACAATGTGTGGTTTAAAGCAAAGTGAGACAGTAATTCAGCGCATTCTATTTTGAACAAGCTCCTGAATTATATGCATATAGGCCGCTTCTTATAGCACTGCACAAACTAGCCAGCTTCAATATTTTATTGTCTGAACAGACAGCTTTCAGATTTTCAGATGCAACCAGCGTGTGCCACAGCAGTAATTGTTGGATGCCTAAATGGGAGCTCTGCTCTTCTGAACATGTGGCCTCACATTTACAAGCAAAGGCAGTTCCACAGTGCAGAGCACATTTGGAAAGGTACACGACTCTAAATTCATGTAGCATAAGAGCCAGCAAGAGGTGGCACTTACAGTGCACAGGTTAGGAGGCCAAGCTCCAAAAAATCTTTGTCAGAGTTTAGGGAGTTACTAGTGAGAAGGGAATTCGACCGATGCTACAGAAACACTGAAGCTACAGAGCAGCCTCGTGCTCGTTAATCATTGCTGAATTACACACCTTACCATGCTCTTAAGCAAGCTGTCACATAGCCTTAAAAGGCCAGGCAGAGCAGTAAGGGCGAGAAGGCACCGTGCACCAACACTTTGGGCAACTTGCCCAAATCCAGAGCTTTGTTTATTGAGGGAGACAGCAGGCTCCGTGGAGCCAGGGCTTCCCTTCCCCACACGGGCTTTGGGGGAGCTGGTTTTGCGACGCAGGCGCCATGCTGAGCTGCCTCTCCCACCTCTCACCCTTCCTCGGCATCAGGACTCAGGGCTGAAGGGAGAAGCAGAGCTAATCCCTTCCCTGGTCTGCTCTAGGACCGGTCCATTCACGGGTTGCCTTCGACACAAGGTGCAATGCTTCAGTCAGGGATGTAAAGTGGAGTAAATTCCTTGTGAGCATAAGCGAGTTCAAACAGTGACGAAATCTAAAATTTTCACCAAAATAACCAGGAGATGAGCAACAAGCCCATGTTACAGCACCTTATATGGGAAATGCTTATTCTCAAATCCCTTTATTAGCTTATTTCCTGCTCAGTTGTTCCACAGTTCACTCAGGCTCAGTGCTGGGAAAGGCTTCGCTCACATGCTCAAACTGGTTGGGTCTTTCTCTCCTGAACGGCCAAAATCTTGCAGCTCCTTGGGCTGAGATGCAGTAACACAGCTCAGAGTCAGGACCACTTGGAGAAGAACTAGGGGATTTCAAACCAGGCACCTCTGGCTGCCCTACAGCATTGCAAGTGACACTTATATGACTTATATTAGGGTAGTATGTTTTGCTTCTGCTGTTTCATTAGATTCGCCTTGGGTTATCTCTACCTACACTCACGAAGTATCTCCATCACTGCTAAAAAGCTAACTCGGAGCTTCTACAGACACCTCTTTATTGCCCCATCCTGAGTAGCGATGCAAAGGCCTCTATAAATCATGCTGAAACGCGTGCGGATTGCATTCTTGCATCCCATAAACTCATCCTAAATGAGCCTGAAGGGGTTCAGAATTTCTCCAGTTTGAGGGAGTTCTCAGCTGGCAGAAAACAAGCACGAGCTGGTTCCTGTGCCAACACTCAGGGCTCTCTACCTAGAGGTCCAGGTGTGACGGAGAAAAGAGCCACAACGTTAACTCCTGAGCTAGCAGAGTCACCGGGGGACCTCGCATCAACGAGGAAGGCCAACAGCTCCCCAGGAGGAGCTCTGGGGCCACACAAATTGGTACCTACCACAGAACCTCATTCGCTTCCCTGTGAGTTCCCCTCTGCTGTGCCTGGACACTTTGCAGTGCTCGAAGAACAGTCTGCAGCCTATGGAACATTTACTGGAGGAAAAGGCCTTCTCCGTGGCACAAAATAAAGTCCTCAATGTGATACGTCCAAAAATAGAAACGACACTGTGAATATCAATAACCAGACCAAAATGTGACTGTTTGTTCAAACTTGGAAACTTTTTTTGGAATAGAAACACAGAGGAAATAACTCCCCCCAATGTCAGCAAATCTTTGTTTTAAGGTTGTATTTTATTTATAACTTAACAATTGACCGTACAAAGTGCCCAATAAATTATGCATAGTCCAGCACCCTTCTCCAAAATGTTTTATATCTCATTTATATCTCGCTTTACTTTTATCAAAAACTCATAGATTAGCTTTAAAACACATAGATTAAAACCTTCAAAAGTCTATTTTCAGAAATAGCAGATTTACACTATTTTTTTGCTGCCTCTCAGCAGTCTTCATCTTATTAGACCAAACCCTGGATTTTTAAGACACCTTTGAAAGACATATCACCACAATTAGCCTAAAACACATATCAACACGCCTACATGCAACCTCCCAGTCACACTGCTGTACATTTCCAAAAGAAACAAGGGCACAGTGTCAATACCGAAATACAAATGACCAAGAGTCTCAGGGCTGCCTCTGGAAACACAGTCAGGCTTCTTTTCTATTATGGAACTGTTCTTAATTTATATGATCAGGCCTAGATCTCTCACAGTGCTTAATGAGTTGGAGTGTTTCTGCTTTTGGATGCTAATTTGAGATTCATTAAACAGACTCAGATCTCTGATGATACGGATCAGCTTGCAGCCTCGAAGTTTCTCAACCTACAGTCTGGCAGCCAAAAACTGGGACGCTCTGAATGCCACCAAAGAAAACCACCCTGCTAGAAATTATCATCTCCTAATGAACCAAATGCTTAAGGCCCTCATATGAAATCTGGATTTTGATTTAATTCAGATGAAACATGGAACCTACTTTGATTTTTTTTGTATTGCCTTTATCTGCAATGTCCAAAATAAATGCAAAAAAAGTTCCAAGAACCAACATAACAAAATACATTGAAAATCTGAGATATTTGTTCTTGACTTGACCAAAATCTGAAATTACATTAAACAAACATTTTTTCCTTTCCCCAATGAATGTCTTATGTTCTATATTCAGTTCACCAATTGTCCTGGGTCTGTACCAAGTAGAATAAACAAGTAAAGTGTTAAATATTTACTGCATGAGTTAAGTAAAATCAGTGGTGCTCACCAAAAGCACAAATAATATAACCAGGGTAAAAAATAGGGCCTATCTGCTTTCTTTTATCCTGAAAACAATCCTCTGACTGTTAAGAAAAAAAAAAAATCCTTACAAACACAGTGTTGAACCCATCTCACCTTAAAGTAAAGAGTGTAGTCATGCTCTCCCGCCCTTCCGCTAACGTAGACAAATGTATTTGTTGCTTTGAGGGTATGTTACATATGAATGATCACACTTGGACACACATACACATTCCTGCCAACCAAAATCTTGTCAAGCACAAGCAGGTTCTACTACAATGTAAACAGAAAGCCCGAAATCACTAGTGGAGTCTTCACCCAGTGCTGAACTGCCGTGATTTCGTTTTCTCTGTGAGCTGCAGCACCAGGACCATGAGCAATCTCCACCTCTGCCTTCCCAGCCACTGCGGAACTGCCAGCACCGACTGCGCCAGCAACGCAGCGCACCAAATCGGCAGGGAGAGGGCTTGATATTTTGCCAGGGTTTTTATTATTGTGCTGTATTGAAAGCTGCAAACAGGGATTTCCTTATTTTGTTCAACTGAAAACGTAGCATTTGCCATGTTTCCAGAGGACTTACTCGGGTGATAAAAGAAGAACACGGGGCATCAGTTTGGCTATTTCAGCAGCAATTTCACGTGGCCGCAGTTCAGAGGGGTGCACTGGGAGCAGAAAGTGCTTCCCGGGAGCAGCACTGGTGTCTGGAGGCTCTTTCTCACCTTCTTCAGAGAGAAAACTTCTTAGATGCTCTGCATTTTTTTTCACAACTTCCCTCCCTTTCTCCAGTGGTGGTGAGGTCTGGTTGCTTGTGGCACTTGTGCCACATCAAGGCAGAAGGATCAAAGTATCGAGGACAGTTTTTCACTTGGAATTATTGCTGCAGGTAGGCTGTGTGTCCATGAATTCCCACATTTGGTTCAAGAGAGGCTAGCAGGACTCGATTCCTAATGTTTCTACAGAGGTTCAATTCTACATAATCTTTTGCTATTACCATCCAAACACGAATTACAAGAAAAGATCATGAGAAGCATGGAGCAGTTAACTAGTGCAACAAAGGGAAACCAAGAAATATGTTTAGACATGAAATCTCTATCTATTCCATCAAAAATACCATCTGTCTTCTTAGAGAATATCAAAATTTAAAAGATTTTTTAAAGGTCAAAGATATCAAAGACTCACAGCAAGTTTTAACATGTCAAGTGTCTCCTTGAAGTGTGCAGAACTGCAAACTACCCAAATCAGACCTGCAATCACAGGGGCTGATCTCTGGCGTCTGTCATTTGTGCGACTGTTTGACACCTGTACAGGTTGAGCCAATTCCCTCTTTGTGCAAAGAAGGAAAACTCCAGTCAATGAGACTGCTGCTATTTCTACCAGCAAAGAATCCCTCATAGTGGCTGCAAAATGAAGATGAAATACTTTGCAGATTTGATTCAGGAGCATTTTATATATCCGCTTTTCCAAGGTGTAAATGACTTTGCTACGAAGAAGCCAGTACAAAGTGCAGGCTCGAGAAGTTCTCTTTCTCCCAAGGGAAAAAAAGGATGATAAAAATAAATCGTTTCAGCTGCTTTTACGCTGAGGCTGTTTGGAGGCAACGTAGAATATGAGACAGACAGAGAGCTGATGTGAGCTGTAGGTAGCACAGTGCTGGCAATGGGCACCCCTGAGCACGCTTGTTAAAACAAAGCGAGGGAAGGAGGATTCCAAGCACTTTCCGAACCAGACCATGGCAATGGCCAAAATAGGGAAACTATGTAAGACAATTTATCAGTTTCACAATCAGATTTCTTTCCAGCCCTTGCTGTGCTGAATGCATTGC